TCTGGCAAGACTTACTGCAGTAGAGCCACCATCTCCGCTGTTGTTGTACCCTATTTCCATCCTACCAACTAGCCACCTCACTAGTACGACGCTTGGTATCTCACCATCTACTTCCAACACCAACCAGCGACGTCCTGGCATTGAACCACCATAGATCTATGAATATAACCGCATTAGAAAAACCCACAGTGAGTAGCAAGAACCCCCCACAATCCTGAAGCGACCTCAAGACCACCAGAAGCGAAAAAGGAGATCCAAATGAGATTATCTGAAAGCCGATACAACCGAAAACATGTTGCCCTAATGCTATCAATGGACTATCTCACGGCTGCCTCAACCCACATATCCAAGATACCAGGCTCTTTCAGGCCTCACACCCCCAACGGCTGGGTTACAGGGCGGTGCGACCCACCCTAGCTCCGACCCGCATCGTCCTAATACCAACTCGCGCTTAGCCACTGGACCGCCTTCCACCCTCGACAGTTTCCCATATCTGTCTACCAGGCCTCTAATCACTGCATACTCAGGTTACATGGCAGCGCAACCCAACCACAACTCCAGCCAACATCGTTCTGGCATTGTCCAACCCTAACCTTATGGATATGATGACGATAACCCACTGTCGGATAATCTATTGAAAACACCGCGGCAACTAAGGCTTCGAAATACCCGCCTTCTTCAATGCACAGGTCGTGCTCAACACCCCCAAACCACCTGAAAATTCCCCCTGACCCCCCTCCGGCAAGACTTATCACAACGGAGTCACCATCTCCGTTGCTACTATGCCCTATTTCAATTTACCGACTGACCCCCTCGCCAGTAGGACGCGTCACCTCCGTCCCACTACTAACCCCTCTCACACCACGTGTTCTCCCATAGATTGGACAAAAGACCTTGATTAAAAGGTAGCTTGATGAGGGGACTACGAATCGATTGACTAGATAACTAGGATCTGGATATGGTCATTATAAAAAATATTAAACTTGTTTTCCATCCTTAATGAACTTGGCTTCCAGTTCGATTATCAATTCTGACGGTTTCCCGGGAGAAACCCTGATTCGCAAGAGATCTTGCTTTCTTTCTTTTGAAAACCAAATGCGGGATAACGGTCTGAGATCATCAAGCTGTTATTCCAGTTTTTCAAGTTGGCTAGAAAGAAAACGAGTATCTGAGAATGATAAAAAAAAACCTTTGTTTTTTTTCATCCACCTTGAAGTTCGTGATTGTCTGTAATTATTCTGGGCATGATCATCTGAGGGACCATATGAAACAAAAACTTGTCATGAATCGCTAGTCTAATTAGATTTACCATCTTAAAAGGCATGGAAAAATCATGAGAGGGACCATTAATTAGATAAAGATTCTCAACAAGATCAATCCAAATAATATTTAGATTGAGGTGCAAAACAGGGGGAGGATTTTGAGTTCGAGATTTTAAATTTTGTTTCGTGCAAGAGAGACAAGTGTCTGACACCTAATCCTCTTGCTACCAAAAATTGTTATTTTTAATATATGATTACGTGATGATTCGGATCAGGGAATAAACGTTATGAATTTCTCACGTTTAACTTGCAGAGCGTTATTACCAATACTTCTGTTGATGTTTATTCAGTGTGGTTTACATGACATTCATCGCAAGATTGCCCATTGCCTTGCATAGGTATACTCCGATCGAGAACTTCATCAATTTGAAAACCCGTCTCAGGTGGTGGAGTAACGCTTGTAAATGACATTGTAACTGCGAAAAATTAAATGACGTCAGCCATATTGGTGGTGCGAAGAGCAACAATTGACTCGAATGTACAAATAACGATTTGAGATTAACAACAAAATTTTCACAATAAATGAAAGTTGAAAAAAACATTCCATTAAGAAAAAAACATTAATATTTAAAAATTATCATATTCCAATGATCGTCAAATTATAAAATTTTTTGTTTTATTTAATAAGTTGCCGTATAAAAATGACATTTTCCTTCCAACTACATTTATTTGTTGAAGATGGAATAAAAGTTTTGACGGAATTATTAAATATCTTAATTAAACTTTCATTCTATTACAACGAATATCTTATAATTTATATTGGATTAACCTATTTATAACTGGAAATCCTTACATAGAATGACAGTCCGATTAAAATATTTTATAAACTCATCTAGACTTTCTTTCCGTCTCTAGCATGCAGTTCAAATAAGAAGGGATACCCCATTCTTGGAAAAACAATTTTAAAGTAAGACGAAAACTTTTAAAAGTGTAATAACATTTTTTAAGATGAAAAAAAAAAAAAACAAAGAATGTGATTTTACTGTATAATTATTATTTAATTGTGGGAATTGAAAAAAAAATGGATCTCCCTGAAGAAAAATTATAAATTATCCTTGATAACTTGAAGGTTGAACTTATGAGTATATTTTTTGTTGCTGATATATAGGCTTCCCGTGGCATGAAGTGTGGACTAAAAAACGACCATGTTGCAATACCTTGCATGCATGTTGCGGTTAGATCTGAGGAAGAGGACCCCCTGCACCTGCTTGGAGGCCTGAAGAAAAGACGTTGTTATACGAACTTATATAAGGTTGATACCCCTGCACAAGTTTTTGCTCCTCGACGACGACGTTTTTTTGTGACCTATAGAACCTTAATATGGAGAGCGATACGAAACCTCATGCCCATTCACCTGTTGAGCTTAACCGATAGAGCCTTCGTGTTGTCCATCACTCCTCTCGCATTGACCTCTTTTGCGTTATTTGTCAGTGCGAAAGAACATGCTCCGTCTTCAGCATTTTAGGGTTTCCGACGAAGTAAGCTTCACTTGAAGCAAATTTCCTTCTAATGTTTCCACCCATAGCTTGTCCTTCATAATCGCCCCTACTTAGGATCGATGTCAAACTTCATATTTGCCAGAGTTGGCTTAAACTTATGTGGTTTCGTATGATGAGGATTGAATGGCAACCCCTTTTGCCTATCTTGATTTGAGCTTCAAGAATAACATCACCCTTAGGGGGACATGAACTACAACCACCCAAAATGTATGTTAATCCGCCTCTCTTTTTTATTTCCATGGTGGAGTATTGGTCAATCATGACTTGAATTCCAACTTATAAGTTGTTTTTGCCATTGTTAGAATGTCATCCTTGTTTGTGATCCTTCACTGAGCAATTGTTCAATTTTTTGCAATGTGTGAGACCACGTTGAGACTCTTTAGCTTCACGTGCCCTCTTTCAAATTTTTATGCTTTGAAATTATCGTTTATTACTATGTTAGCGTCATGTGCCCTTACAATGTCATCCTTGACTCCTTTAGGGATGAATCAAGCACCATCTTTAAAAATTACCTTTATTGTGTGGTCGTTTAACCAAGAAACTTCATTATCGCCGTGTTTACCTTGAAACGAGTTTCCCTTCCCTCTACTTGCATCTAGCCCGAATCTATATCCATTGTAATCACCCCTTCCTCCTAACACATCTAGATCATCTCTTGTTCTCTATGACTATCCTCGCACGCCATATTCAAATCAACAGGAGACGAGTGCATCTCTTTCTGTGACGACAAAATAACAAATAAGATAGGTCATGGGTTAACTAGCGGATGGGGACCAATTCACTTAAAAAACCTATACGTCTACAAAAACATCTTTTACAAGCAAAAGGGACTTGTCAATTTCTAGTGATGGATGGACCGAAAACGGTTGTATTGGACAGTGGACACTTTACTTGACAATGAGTGATGACTTATAAGCAATGAACGATGGATGACGAACGATGAGGTCCTTCCAACTTTTCGAGATGACCACTCTTTCTCTCTCCTCCAAACTTCCTAGATGGCCCGTCGACAAGGCGAGTGGGCGTATAGCAGTAGCGCTTGTAACCGAAGAGTCCTCCGTTATCAGGTAGCAACACTTGGTCCGAGCATTATATGCGCTGGTAGAAGTGCCCTCTGTAGGATCACCTGCCCGAAAATTCAATCACCTGTTGGATCTGGACAATACCCTAAAACAAAATTCACAACTATCTTACAAAAGTTTCGAAGCAAAATTTCAAAAACCGTCGCCACAACACAACCTTACAGTTTGCGAATGACAAACCTGTGTGGTCTAACATTGCTGAAGCGATAGCGCTGGCAGCTGAAGAGTCCTCCGTTGTCGGGTAGAGCGCTTGGTCCGAGTGCTAACACGCTGCCAGAAGTGCCCTAGTCAGACCCCTGCCCAATCAATTCAATCACCTGTCGAATCTAGACAGGACCCAAAAACAAATTTCACAACTATCTTATAAAAGTTTCGAAGCAAAATTTTAAACCACCAGTACTTTCGAGGCTCTTTTCTCGACCCTCGAAATACCCAGTGCGCCCAAAAAAAAAAGAAGTGGCGTGGGCAGCCATTTTGCTTTGGAGGCGGATCCCCGAAAGCTGCGGCACATGCACGAAAAGGTCCAGCAGCCGATGTATAATGTCCAGCGGCCGATGTATGGGCCAAGTACTGGTGGTTACAAGACAAACCTGTGTGGTTTTGGGGACATCTGAACAGCATTTCATTTTGAGAGGGGTGCAGAGAGGCCCATAAAGGGCCATTCTTATGAGCAGATTGGTGGTGCTTCGCAAGAACAAAGCACCCTTTCTTGGGAAGCCTGACATAAAATGAGACATTCACATGGAGAGCTCATCTGGCGCAGTGGCCCATTCCTTCGAATCCTTCTCAATCCGGCGGATGCAATAGGGGGTAGTAGGGGCATCAGTGGCAGGCCGTCTTGTCCCCTGCCCCCTTCGGCCCCTCGTATGGGGGTATGCTTTGCGTCCTTTTCGCCACCCACCCACAAGCCGGGAGGACATCCGGGGCTAGGTCCCACTTACACGAGTTAAGCGATATCGACCGTATATACCAAAGATCAACGGTCAGAATCTCTTAATCCGTGCAAGTGGGACCTTGCCCCCGAATAGCGACCGTAGCAGTCAACAGACCTTCCTCACGAGTCACAACCTCTAGAGTCGAGATTCCATGGGAGCAGGGGTTTCGCGCTGCTGGTTTCAATGCCCCGCGCTCGGGAGGAGCGCGTCATAGCAGGGCAAGGGAGATCGGCGGGACGACTCTCCCGGGCGGGCTGCTGACGTGGCTGGAAGTCGTTTGCGACGGTGGGGAGATCCCGCTCAGCAGCGGCGGCGGAGGCCGACGTGGCGCGTGGGAACGGCTCGCTGCTTGGCGCCAAGCGCCTTCCTAAGCTGTGGCAGGGAGATGGACTCGTGGATTTGCCGCGCATGGGCGCCCTCGCATTGGCGCGCCCAGTCATCGGCGCGCCCCTGGCGCATCGCACTGCTAATGCTTTCCTTATGCGTCACATTTTCCTATTTGGTTAAGCTGGATGTCGCCCTGGCAGATTCCGACGACTTGCCTCTACATGAGGCTGTGGCATTGCTCACGGACGAAACACTGGTACAGGAAACGCAGGGTCACTCCTTGGTGATGTTCTACGCAGAATGGTAGGTGGGCAGGGAAGAGGGGGGGGAAGGGGGAGAGGAAGAAAGGTTTCTGCATCCTCATTTCGTCAATTTGCCTAGTTGCCCTCCGTTCATTCAGCCCTCCTGTTCTCCGTCGTGTATGAAATATATGCATATATACATATACAGTTTGTCACAGCCCCTCGTTTTTTGTCCTCTTCTCTCTCTCTGCCTACGGTTTACCGGGCAGTTCTGTTTGTGACGATATATATGTGATGATATATAGCCCGGTAAACCGTAGGCAGAGAGGGAGAAGAGGACAACAAACGACGGGATGTGACATACTTGTATATCGTCAAACAGACTATATATGTCTATATACATTTATATATATAGATATATAGATATATAGATAGATAGATAGATAGATAGATTGATATAGAGATATATAGATAGATATATACATTGACAAATTTATGAAAAATATATGTCTGGCATTGTCGGTCGGCAAAATTCAGGAACTTTTATTTTTCTCTTTGGCATTATGATAACTTGTGAACTTTGTATACAAAATGTAACAAAACCTGAAATTGAAAAATAAAAAAGCAAATAGCTTTGCTTCTGCGGAAAAGAAAAAAGCCGCAGCCGATGCGGCTGACTGTTACACGCACGCATATAACGAACTGTTAGTAAACAGAAAACGTGTTCGGATCCGTCTGATGGAATCAGAGGCACACAATCAGAATTTAGCGGCTAGTAGTGCCCGCCTTTCGGGGAAAAGAAAAGAGAAATAAAATGCATACCATTTTAAAATTTTAAACGAATTACAGTAAATTTGGAGGTTAAAACACAACTTTGAGGAAAAGTCGCATCGTATGAATTGTTCGTAGTGCATCTGGAAAAGTGCCGATGCATCAATCGAAGTCATTTCTGTGAAACTTCGTAATTCAGTCACGGTTATGATATAGTGCGTTGCGGGACATGATCCCACAGACACACAGAGAGAGAGAGAGAGAGAGAGAGAGAGAGAGAGAGAGAGAGAGAGAGAGAGAGAGAGAGAGAGAGAGAGAGAGAGAGAGAGAGAGGCACAGGTTCGGACGCATATGCATGTCGGAGCTCGGAAGTGTGATAACTATCCGTTGGATATCATTGATGCTTTTCGAAAAGATTGAAAGTTTTCATATCAATCTAGTAATCTACTGAAAGACTACATTCCTGAATGTAACTGATTTCAAATTCTCTCGAGTCCCTGTTTCTCTCTGTCTCTCTCCCTCCCTTCCGCCCGCCCTCTCTCTCTCTCTCTGTCTCTCTCTCTCTCTCTCTCTCTCTCTCTCTTTCTCGCCCCTCTTCGGTCTCTCACTCGCACTCTTTCTCCTCTCTCCCGAAAATCGTAACATCTCGGCATGTAGGGTGTCCAAATCCCCCCCCCCCCTCTCCGCCTCCCCCCCCTTTCCCGTTTTCCGGCGTGTAATTTTTGCTGTGGGAAGTCTTTGTTCTTCTCCCACCTTTTCATGACCCAAGGGCGAGATAATTCATTTTAATATTTAAAATTTTAAATCCATTTTTCATGTTTAGAGTTCGTGATTTTCTTATTAATACGGCAAGTCTTCTACGGAAGCTTCTGGATTAATCGGCTCGCTTCTTTTCTCCCCGTTGTTCTATTCTTTTTTGTAAACCACAGTCCCCTTCCCCCCCCCCTCCCTCTCCCTTTCTCTCTTCCACTGCCTCTCTCTCTCTCTATTTAGCTTTGAGCTTAGAGCTTCTTCTCTGGCTTTGAAAACTTGTTCCTTTTTTTTTTTTCGTTTTTTTTTTTTTTTCAAATTTTTAACGTATTTCAGTTGTCGGTTGCGGCGGGACAGGGAATGAATCTGCTGAGTTGATTGACTCATCCGAACCATGAACCAAACCCGAGCCTTTTTTTTTTTTTTTTTTTTTTTTTTTCGAGTTATTACTTTGTGTACATCGGTCGCTTAACTGTCATATGTCTAGCATCCAACCTCTACAACAACCTGGCTTAAAAAAAAAGAAAAAAGAAAAAAAAAGTGACGGCCTCCTCTCCCACACGAGAAGCTAGCTCCTCGGCCAGCAAAATGCCGCTTTATCGTGTTTTTTTTTTTTTTTGTTTCCTTATGCAGGGGCCATGCTAATCTTCTCTGTATCGTTCCAATTTTAACGGATGTCCCGAAGGACATTTATTTTTTGTTTCTCTATTTTTTTAATCTTTTCTTTGTAGGGTGTCGATAAGATTCTTTTCGTCAATCCGTTTGCCTTTGGGACGAGCCCGAAAGGTAGCACTTGCGGCTATGGTCGCTGCCCTTTTTTTTTTTTTTTTTTTTTTTTTCCGTACATGTGAGGACCCGAAAAAAAAGTTGAAAAAAAACATACGCTGGTACAAAAGGTGACTTTCATACAAAATAGGGCCTCGCCACACCACTGCCGGAATGTGCGCAATGGAGGATGTATCTTCCGCAGAAACATAAGCAGATACATCCGCCATGGACTTACATTTGTCTTTTTCACAATTCGTGACTGGCGCGGCGATGCCCTTCCGTACCTTTCAATCATTACGTAACGATCCTTAATTATGTAGTCTCACGCTTGGGGGATTTTTTTTGTCGTTTTGCAGAATCTATGCGGTCAGGAGCATCTCAGAAAGTCGTGTTTTTTTTTT